TAAAACTTTGTTGCAGAATATAGGTGAGTAACCCGTCTAATGTAAGGCAGTTTGTATTTGTTTGCCAAATGGCATATGGGAGTAATGTAGCTAGAGTAACAGCAATTATGTAGGCACACAGCCGTGGGAAATAGGAAGGGCAGAGCTGGTATTTCCCAGGTAAAGCTTAAGATACCATCTGTGAAATGTCTTGATTTAATTACCCTCTGAACTTCAAGAGCAGAATTAACAAAAGTATGCCAAGTGATTCTGAAACATGGAAGTTTCATAACTGTGCCTGAATATGTAAGCCAGTATTACTGTCATTTCTTAAGCTAACATTTTGAAATCAGACCTGTGTAAGTCAATGCTTCCTACAGACTCTCCCCGTCTTCCAGTGGGCTCTCTGGGGTGGAGGGTGCCCCCATCATTACCTGCTTGCCTGCTTTTCAAATTCTCCAGAACCTTTGCTTGTGGGGTCTGCCTTGCGTGGAAATTATTTCATTGAAGTTTGAACTGTATTGTTATATAGGGGTCCCTGTAAAGGTAGCTTTTTTGTCTTTCTCGTGATTAGCTTTGCAAGTTGTAGTGCAAATTCTTAAGTTCCTGCTGAGTTTTGGAATTTGTTTTCTGAAGTGACAGAGCTTACATTATATTGTTTCACTTTACTTGGGTTTTTTGACAAGTTCCTTTGTTTGCTTGTTTTGTTCAGTAGCCATCAACACAAAACACTTGTAGAATTATTATTTAAAAGCAAATCTTGGTATCTGTTTTAATATTTAAAAAATATGTAGGGGGAATAAATGAGCATCAAGAATGGCAAATATCTGTCGTGTGGGCTAAGCAAAGGAATGTGAGAAACTTCATGTTCTCATTTAAAATAAGGAATGTTTGAGGCATACCAGTAATTCCCATAACAGGAATCACTAGTAGTTTTGTGTGCTAGCTGAACTTGAGCACTTCCAGCAACTTGTTACATACTACTTGTCATCATGAGACATTCACATATAGTTTGGTGTGGTATCTGTGGCATTTTTGGCTGTGTAAATGATCTTATCAGCTACCTTTGCCTCCTCAGTAAAAGTAGTAGTGCCACTTGAAACTGGTACTGCCGAGCTGGATGCCTTAACTGCAGTTAGTGGTCTCTTTCAGCTGTCTGCTGAGCTGCAGGGGACCAGAGTCCAGCAAATTACTTTGGTCTTTTAGCATTTCTCTCCTTTGCCTCACTTACATTCCCTATTTTTATAATGGTAAGGATACAGTTGTTTAAAGACGCCTTCAGAAATTATGTTAGTGCAGCAGGCTTGAACCTAGGTGAACAATATTACTATTCCAATGGCATTTTAAAATAAAAATATAGAAAAGAAAAATAGCCCTAATTTATTTGTAAGAGCTGAGTACATTGCATATGCTTTTGGGGTGATTTCAGGGCTTGTTTTCCAAATGCATATCCTTGAGAGAACTGCATCTGTGTTCTAAAGAACTTTTCAAGCTAAGCAGACCGAAGTTACATGAGTGCATTTTTTTAAGTTTATGTAAATTTCTTCCAATATGTCATTTAAAAGAACCTGATTTTGAAAATGAATCTGGTTTGTGACTTCCCTAATTCTGAGAATGTGAACTTTCTAGACACTCTATTTTAAGAATAAAATTCCCTAGTGTTAGTGCATTTTAGTTGCATTTTTTAATTTTGTTAAAAACAGAAAGTGGAATATTGGAAATAAAAATGCTGATGTGCTGATTCTGTAAGTACATTAAAAGGTATGAAAACTAAATATTTATTTTCCTAATGAAACTGTGGTTATACAAACGATTAATGTTCAGGTGAGTTTACGTAATGAAGAGCTAAAGTTGTATATTTATCAAGTGTCCTTCTCTGCCCCAAAGTCTTTACCCTACAGGCCAAATATTTCCAGTCTCATATTAGAGGATAGGGTCTGTAGACTTCAAAACTGCTAAGTGTTATGGAAAATTGCATTATGGTCAAAGTGTTAGCAGGTTACTCCTTAACAATGTGTTGTACTGTAAAAAAGCAGTTGTTATAAAAGGTTGTGGGTTTTTTGTTGAAGCACAAGCTAATTGCTTATCTTATGTGTGGCATGTGGGGGTTTTTTATGCATCTATTAAAAAAAACAAACAAGCCTTAAACGATTACTTTCCAGTACATATGAATTTGTGAACTAAGTGTAACAGGATAAGACAAAATACTTTTCATGCTGCAATCAACCCTACTTGTCGATAGTTAACAAAGAAAGAATCCTGAAATGCTAGCAGTGTAATGCAAACATCTGTTCATAGAAATGGGCTTCCAAGGGAAAACTAGGTACCTAATTAAGAAAACAAGTAGAATTGTAAAGCACATTGAAAGCAAAGTAGTAGTGTTATGTATGAAAGTTGATTTAAAATGAATCTTTTAACTGTAGAAAAGTTCTGAAGAGCACTGCGTTTCTGGCAGACATTACCCCTACTCTTAAAATAGTTTTACCTTATTGTAGTTTGTTTACCTTCAGATTCAAGGTAATTGATCAGTCAGTCTGTGTTGAGGCTGTGGCTGCTTTCTGACTGGTGCATGGTTCTTTCTAGGATAGTAACTAAACTGCAGAAACTTCCAGAAAAAGTTTAGCATCTGCTGTGGAGCTTCCTTGCTTGGTTATGAACAGAAAAGAAATCTTGAAGGCTGAGAGCCTTGAAGGATGTCTTAGCTCTTGTGAAATGTTTTAAAGGGGGAAGAACTACAAATGCTGGAGTCAGGGGAGGTGGGACAAATGCCTCTCCATCAGCATAGCAGGGGCTGGGAAATGTGAAGATTTGCTATTTTCACCTGCTGCCTGCAGCAGAAGCAATCTGTTGGAAGTAGGCTGGTTCTGAGTAAAAAGCTTGCATTAGGTCCCAGTCCCTTGCAGTCATAAGAGTTTCTGTTTAAACACTGACAGAACATTAATCGGACTTCTAATGCAAAAATAAAATGATGTCAACAAGTCAAGTGATAAATGTAAAGAACTGTCTAATTGTGAGGTTGCAGTTTTCAGGATGAGAGGTTTGTACTGTAAAAGGGAGAAAAAGTCAATCAATGCCCAAAGCACATAATAAATGGCAATTCTTTTTGAGCCAGCATTCATACAGAATGTTCTGGATTTTTGGAAGCATGTTTTGAAGCAGTAGGTTATTTCTTTCATTTAGGTTTTGGTCAGCATGTTGAGCTAGCTGGTCTGACTGGGTTCCAGTAACACCATCAGATGAGAGTGAGAAAACTGACTGGCAGTGAAATCAGTGAACTATTTTTATTATTGAAGAATTGATTAAATATAATGTTTGTATTCAGTGCATATATTTAATAAATATTGAGCCATGCTCTGCACAGGGTGCCTGTAGACTTTGGTAGAATATTCTCATAACTCCTCAACAAGGTACCTTCTATTTGCCATTTCTTGTCTCTTGATAGACTGTTCTCATGAGACTGAAATGACAATACTGGATTTTAAAGATAACTTATTGAAATCAATGTAATTACTGAAATAAGTATTTACAAAGTACAGATTTTGTAACACTTCCCTCAGCACCAGTTACAGCTGAGATGCCTGGCTGTCGTAGTTGGGCAGTCTGAAATACTTGTGTACAAAACAGGATTGGTTTTACATATGCTTGATGTAATTTATAATTTCGTTTATGGAGCAAAATGGCAGGGATATTTTTAATTTGTCTTTAACCATAAAATCTTTTGTGTCATGTGATTGCTGGTCCCAAAAGGAAGAGGGCCACTTAAGTTTCCATTAGAAAAGGAAGAGGATATCCCATGCTGCTTCTTATTTTGTCAGCACCTTCATAAATATAGAGCTTTGTAGCAAACATTGTAATATAAACATAGGGCATGTGAAAATGGTCAGCATAAAGGCATTGACATTGAGTTGGGAAATGCTGATACTGGAGGATGGTATTTCTGGAAAATGTGAACTTTAAAAAGACTAAGAGAGGGAATATTTTTCTGGACACAAAATTGGTGGTGGTTTCAGATGTTCAGCAGACACACAGGAGGTGCAAGCAGAACTGGTTGCTGGCAAAGTGAGAACTGGGAAAAGGTAGGTCAGATGAACTCTAATGAAGAGAAGCTTGTCTGTGTTGCATCTTGTGATGAAGGGTGGGTGTTGTGTACTTTTGAGGCACCTAAAACTCCTGTGAAGTGGCAGTGAACAGGAGGGTGCTTATAGACATGGAGATAAGGGTGAAATTGTTCTTCTGGAGTGTTAAGGTAAGGATAAGTAAGAAGATGACAGTGGGGAGATATGAGGAGATATGCATTACCATCATGAGGTTAGAACTGGTTCTCCAAACCTCCATCTGCCTTAGTCTGAAGGAGATGCAGAAGGGCAGTGTGAGCAAAGGAGCTGGTTATCAAGGTGTGCTGCAGCCTGGACTAACAAAGGTGTGACTAAATAGTGTGAGGATTACACAGGGGTATAGAGGGAAGTCATATGGCAAAGTGAGATCCTGAGTGGGAATAGGAGAGACACTCTTCAAATGTTTTGGGATTTTTGAAAAGTGGAATGAGGCAAGGGCAGGGCTGATTAGTATTTGATTTTGGAGGAAAAATCAGCATTCATATAAACATACTTCTCTGAAAAGTTTTACATATGTAGGTGGTGCTGCAGGCAAACTGGATATGCTAGATAATTCTCTTGAGTTAATGATATTACCAGTGGTACCATGACACTTCATGATCCTGGTGTGGAAACAGTTGATTCATCAGGGTGTGATTTGCATGCAAATTGTAGCATAGCTCCTGTGTTTAAAAGGAGTATGCAGACATATTGGCACCTTTCTTCCTTCCCACCTACCTTAGAAATACTTCTTGGTTAGAAATATTAACATTTTCAACACTAAATGTTGGAAAGCTGAACTTGATCTCATAACAGTGACTTGGTCTGTCAAGTGGAGATGTAATAAAACTGAACTTAAGCAGCTGCTTTTTATATTTACCCCTTAACTGTAATAGTTAACACAGCATGGTTTCTTGAGATAACACTTTAGAGCATGGAACCATCTTGTTTGGTATGTAGAGATTACAAAGTCATATTGTTGTACCTAACAGCTCAGCTATAAATTAGCTGTAAGCATAGTGTGACGTGGTGAGTAAAAGCTCCCTGATCTGTATTTCACATATGGTGCTCTGTTGGCCCCCTATATTTTTTCCTTTCTGTTTTCTGAATATCCTTTCCAAACCGCTTTATTGACCTTTATTTTATTGATTAAAAAAAAAATAAAAATCCGTATTTCTGTTTTGGTTTGTTTTCCTGCAGGCAGCATCATAAAATCTTAAGTGAAAATGGCCTTTAGCAATCTGACATCAAAGGCTGTGCTACTCTATGATGAATGGATTAAAGATGCCGGTGAGTCATTTAAGTCTTAAACTTATTAACTTTCAATAATTCTGAATAGCAGTGCGTGGATGTTCCAGGTATAGTGTTTATCAACTTAAAGTAGCTTTGTCTTCCTGTAAATATTTCTAAGAATTACCGAGTTACCTATTGACATTCTGAACTATGGAGAACAGGCTACTTTGTGCATTTAAAAAAAGAAAAAAAACTCGAAACCCATCAAGTTTATGGGTTTAACCTTAGACTGAATTAAGCGCAGACAGTGATTCTTCTGTAATAATTTCTGGCTTACCTGAATTGTACAATTTACATTTTTTTCTGTGCTTCTGAATGCAAAGGTTTAATTCTTCTTCATTACCAAATAATGGTGTTTTTCACTTAATTGAGCTAGGTGTGTGGTATTTTGCTTTTGCAAAGTAAAAAAAAAATAAATAAAAACCTTGCTAAGTCACAGTATCTCAAAAATTAATCCTCAAAGTAATTAACTCTGACACAATTCTGTTTTGAAAAAGTCTTTTATTGCAGCTGGTAACAGATATGAAACTGTGCTTTAATGTTGTTGTTCTGTAGTTTGAATACTTGCCAAAAAAAGATGAAGATGGGTCTTAACCCCAGACTTGAGATCATCTGTCACAGTAGAAGAGACATGTTCCTCACTGTGCTAGGCACATAGTGACAGGGATTAGCTGACTCCTGGGGAAAACCTGAGAAGCAGTTAAGGTTTGCTCAATAAAATTACAATTTTATCTTTTCCAGTACAGCTGAGAACCATTTGTCCTGTTCTGCAGAGCCACAGCATACAAGTGAGAAGGGAGTTCTATCAGTGTGACTCCTGGGGTGAAGTGGATTGGGATAGAGCTGGATAGTGGAGCATTTCTGCTGCAGTGTACATGACTTCAGAATTTGAGTTCCTTATCCCCCTGCCTAGCAGTGCTTCTGTTTGGCTTTTCATGGCAAACTGTTGGGAGGTTGTTTCGTCAGGATCAAGCTGGGAAGACCACTGGGATAATCTTGGTAGTAGTAGTGGAAGGGGTGGATGCACAAAAAGCAGTCAGCTGTGAAGAGCTGGTGATTCTCTTGCAGTTCAACACATACAGGAGCCTAGTGATGTGTTTCACAATCCTTGTTGGTCTGTGGGCAGCATCGCTGGGCACATGACAGACTGAGCTGCATTATAATATGTGCTTTCTTCCTCAACCTGTTTTAAAACTTCCAGTGGCTGTAAACAAAATCAGAAGGTATCTTAGGTGGTATGTTGCTTGAATGCTGTAGGTTGAACAATCACAGACTTCGGACATTTGGCGATGAATTAAGCACTTAACGAAAATTGCAATGGTATAATTTCACCCCCAAAATACAGCTACAAAATGAAAGCATCAGTTTACTGAATCACTGGGGGTTGAACCCAATGACTGTTGAAGGTCCCTTCAGACCCAAACCATTCTATGATGTGTTAAGTTTGGGGTCATTCAGAAATTAATATTCCAAAAGTTGGTTTTTAAAAACTAAAACTAATATATTTTTTTTTTTTTTTTAAAAGAACACGAAGCACATATCCGTTCTCCTGCTTATGGAGAAATATGGAAGTCTTTGCTGAGCTGGAACCCAGTGATGGGCCACAATAGGGTGCACTGGTGTTGTGGTGAAGCTTAGGAGTGCCTGCCAGCCTCAGCTGCAGGGAGAGGGAGTGGGATGTGCATAGGAGGAGGACTCTGCAATACTTCTGTCTGGGATAACTGGACAGAAGCTGGCAACATTTTTGCTGTTTGGAGGCTTGTAATATGAAAGTGTGTTTTATGGTGCTGTAAAGTGACGACGTGTCTGCAGTGAAAGGCACAAAACCTCAAATACTAAACTATGAATACCAATTTATGGAACAGAAGGTCTTTGAACTTTAAAATCTTTTTGCTTACTATTTTTAACATCATGCGGCTTCTAAAGCTCAAGGATCTTGAAAAGCGTGGCTGCTCCCTGTGACTTGAACCCATGAAATAAGGTTCGTGCTTTTCTAGAACGAATTCTCACATGGAAAAGCAGCCTCGGTGATCTGCTTGTACACTGCCTTCTTACGCTGCCCTCTGAGCCCCATTCATTTGTGAAAGCACAGCATTTTCATGGAGAGCCCTAGTCATGCCACTCATGATTCTGTTTCTTCTGTATGTGAGGAGTTGATGCAGAGAAGTGTTGAATCCTACAGGTGCTAAATCTTGTTATCCAGTCAGTATGGATTTGAGATGGATGGACAATGAAACATGATCAGTTACAATAAAATAACATGATCAGTGAAAATAAAAAGCTATTAAGAATTAATTACCTTTCTGTAGCTGGTTTAGGATTTAGTAAGTCCTGGAAAGATCTGACTTTTGTCTTTTTTTTTCTTCTTCCCCTCCTATAGATCCAAGGCTGGAAGGATGGCCACTCATGTCTTCACCTTTTCCAACAACCTTTATCGTCGTAACCTACATTTATTTTGTCACTTCTTTGGGACCCAGAATCATGGAAAATAAGAAACCTTTTGAACTGAGGCAGATAATGGCGTTTTATAATTTTAGTGTGGTGGCCCTCTCCCTATATATGACTTATGAAGTAAGTATTACTTTTATTTGTAATGTATTTATATGTTTTGTGTTGCTAACTACTAACGTCTCTTAAATTTATTAACAAAATTCCCACTCTGCACTTCTCAAAAAGCTATTATTCTGATTGCTGTAATTATATTTCTCCAAGCAATATACTACACTAGTTCAGGTGATACTTGAAAAAGGGGAATAAGTCATACCTAGAAGGAAAGATTGTAAAATATCTTATGTGTCATTATATGTAATTTAAAAAATTAAAAATTCTCATAACTTACTTAATTTCCCTGGGCTGTAATAGGTAAAGCAGATTAATGTTTTCCTTAGTCTGTTGTAACTATTTTTGTCCTACCGCATCATAATCAAGACTGTTTTTCAAACACTGTATGGGGTATATTTGCTATCAAATAATTTTCAGATGGATCTGCCCTTTAAATGACAGAAGTTAACAAAATCTAGTCTTCATCTTAAAAAACAAACCAAAACAACCAAACAACCCCCCAAAAATAAAAAATTCCAAAACTCCACCAAAACAAGAAAAAAACCCCAAACCAAACAAAAACCAAAAGAACAACACCCCTGTCCCCAAAACCCAAACATAGAAAGTCTTTAACATTAATTTTTCCTTACCCAAATCTAGCAAATGCTGTTGTCTAAAAAGGAATTGAGATTTGCTGTAGTTCATTGCTCAAGCAAAATATTAGACTTTGGAAATCCTAATGAGTTGTATAGTGTTATGGATTGAATGACTTAAGAATCTTTGGTGTAGACTGAAGGTACAACTTAGGTAGAATCTTTAATTTGCAGCCTTAATCCTTAAGACAGCTAATGTCTGCTGAGTTTTCTGCTTGGTTGGGTTGGGGTTTTTTGGTGGTTGGTTGGGTTCTTTTGTTTTGGTGTTTGTGGGTGAATATTTGGGAGTTTATTTTTTTTTGTTGGTTGTTTTTTTTTTTGGCTGGTTGTTGATGTTTTGGTTGGGTTTTTTTTTTGTTGGCATATTTTTTTTTTGATTGCTTGGTATTTAAAGTGCAGCTATTTAGGAATAGTGTGAATGATGATAGTCTCATACATTTCTTTGGTGAAGCATCGCTAGTACTGACCCTCTGTGTTAAATATGTCTGTGTGGCTATTTCAGGTTTGGCAAACTAGTAATGAAAAGTTGTCAGATTGCACCAAATTGGCAGGATACCTTTCTGTTAGCTCAATTTGCATAAATTTCATCATGATTTAACAATGAACTATGTGACATTTCTTTTAACAGCACTTTAAAGGCAGTGCAGGAGCAGCTGCTTTGTGTCATGGTTGTTTTGGAGAAACTGGTAGGCAAGATGTCCATGTTTGCTCTTTAGACTTTGTCTTGAAAAATCACTGAGCTTTTGTGATTTAGTGCCAGGTTGGTTTTGGTATAACCCTCAAGACCGAAAAACAGTAGTAAGCTTCTGTTAATGTCTGGTACTGACACAGAATTCAGTTAGTCTGCTGTACAGAGTTCCATGTTACCATTTCATGAAAGAATGCTTGGATAGAGTGTTGATGGATTGAATTTCTGCTATTGTCTGGTGCTCAGCAGAAAGCTGATTTTGGAACTAAGCCATTTGGTGGGTGCTTTAGTATTGTGCTGTCTGGGTGGTGTTTCAAATCTTGTTTTATTTAAGCAACTGATTCTTCTAGGAAGTTAAATGGACTAAACCCATCCATCTCTTAAGAGAGCTGAACCTCCCTGCTATCATGCATGAGTGGACGATGATGATCAATGGATGAGAAACACTTTACGAATAGATAGAGTAGTCCTAGTGGATGCCAAGCTTTAATTTATTCCAAGAGAAAAGATTAAGTTATATTTGTTACAGACAGTCCTTTGGTCATGCATATGCTCTTGATTATAAACCCCTAATTCTCATTGCTTATATCGGTGAAAGACTAAATGAATCATGCTGTTTAACTAAGGAAAATTTTAAAACTATGATACAAAATATACAGTTCCTTGTCTTTCATAATATCAAGCCATATTTTTCTGTTGTGCTGGTTTTCTTACAGCATTAAGATGCTGTGCTAGTTTCTTTTTGGTATTAAGGTGGTTGACTGTGATAGCAATTTTCAAAAACTATCAAAATGTTTGCTTTGTTTTTGTGGTCTGATTTATACAGTAAGTTGCCTTTTTAGCACTGGTTTTGAGATGCAGCTATTTCTCCTCTTCAGTTACTAGTGCTGAAATTATGGGTGTAGGAGGAAAGTTCTTGTCTATAGGTGTGGTCCTGGGGTTAGAAATTGATTAATTTGCAACAGCGAAGGATTAGTGGGTAGCTAGCCCACACAGAGGTAGGTGATGGACATGGGTGTGAATTCAACAAGTTTTTAATATTGTTTTCTGCTTCTGCTTAGTGATTGCGAAACTAATCCTGAAGTAATTAAATTTTTAATTTTTTTCCCTTTTTTTTGCTTCAGTTTCTTATGTCGGGTTGGGCCACAGGGTACTCATTCCGGTGTGATATTGTTGACTACTCGAGGTCACCTACAGCTCTGAGAGTAAGTCGCTAAACACAAAGCTTAATTGTTATGCTACACTGACTTTATGTTTAGAAATGGGTTTTGTACAACCAAATGCATTGCAGTAGAGTGGAATGCACTAAATGGAAATAGCCTCTTGCATAATGTGGAGAATGTGAATTAACTGGAGGGGTTCATTGTTTGGTAGAAAGAAAAAGTCAATGTATTTGTTGGCTTGTTTCTCCTGGTTTTAAAATTCCTTCAGGATTAAATGTTTTGTGTTTTTAAAGAAAAAACAAACAAACTGTATATTTAAACATTTAGTGCATTCCTTGTGATACCGCTTACTCATCCACTACTTTTCTTTATATACTTTATTTTTTTATGCAGCTGCTTAGTTTTATTTATGACTCTTACAATTTAACAATTTTTGGCTTTTACTCTTGCAGATGGTACGAACTTGCTGGCTTTACTACTTTTCCAAGTTCATTGAATTATTGGACACTGTAAGTATTTATAGCCTAATAAAAGAAGTATTGATGTTTCCTTTTCACAGTAGAAGAACAGGTGCTGTTGGGACTGAGAAGCATAACCTGATTTTTATTTAGGACTTCAGTCTTCAATCAGTGGAATACTGTCAAGGTGTTTACCCTTACTGTCTGTTCTCATCTTATTGTCCCATTACACTGTCATTTATTGATTGTCAGGAAAAATGTTAATAATGGAACACACCTTTAAAAACTTAGGGAGCCATGATAACTTGGCTGTTTAACAGCCGAGTACACTAACCTGTTGTGCTATGGCAGTGCTGTCTCAACACTGCAGATAAAAGAACATCTATCATGGTGAATCTTTTCCATGTCATCTTCACATTTTTTCTTCCACATTCAGGATATTTGCATCAGCAGCTCTGGATGCAGCATAAATTTGCCATACATACCTGCTTTAAATTCCTGTGTATATCTTGAAGGTCATGACTATAGATGTGTTTGGTGTCAGGCTGGCACTCTAACCCGTTTTTTAAGTCTGAGCAGCAATGCATTGAAACAGCCTGCAGACCTCACTTGCCACCAGCAAGCATCTGCTTCCCCTCTCCCTGAGACCAACACCTAACAGTTGGGGTTGTTCAGCCTGGAGAAGAGAAGGCTGCGTTGAGACCTCATAGAAGCCTTCCAGTATCTGAAGGGGGCCTATAGGGATGCTGGGGAGGGACTCTTCATTAGGGACTGTAGTGATAGGACAAGGGGTAACGGGTTCAAACTTAAGCAGGGGAAGTTTGGCTATAAGGAGGAAGCTCTTTACTGTGAGGGTGGTGAGGCACTGGAATGGGTTGCCCAGGGAAGTTGTGAATGCTCCATCCCTGGCGGTGTTCAAGGCCAGGTTTGACAGAGCCTTGGGTGACATGGTTTAGTGTGAGGTGTGCCTGCCCATGGCAGGGGGGTTGGAACTTGATGATTTTAAGGTCCTTTCCAATCCTAACTCTTCCGTGATTCTTTGATTCTGTAATAGGGTTGGCTTAGCTGTTCTCAAGCCAGCTTCAGAGTGTTGGAATCAGCTCTGATTTAATTTCTGTGGGGCACAGCAGTGGTGATTCAGGAGCTGTCTCATGAGCAGTTAGGATATTACACATCCTGTGAGCAAAGTTAGCCATCTAACTTTCATCTGCAAATACTCATGATTCAGTGCTGGAAGATCTTAAGTGACTGAGCCAAATGGAATGGTAATGGAAGGGCCAGGAATGCTAAAACTGGAAAAGCCTGACAAGTTTAGTCCTCTGTTTACTTACCTACCCACTGGTTAGACTGTTCCTTTTTAGTTAGTCCTGGGCCTGAAATATCTTTTTTTTTTTTTTTTAATTTGTTTTGTTTTAATCTACCCAATCAGGTACTTTTTTTCTCAGCAGCATTTTGAATTTATTGCAAAAATAATTTCTTAGCTGTATTTAAGTCAGTTGTTCCCAAATGTTTTCCCTGACACACCAGACTTCTTTTCTTCTGTATATATTTGCTTGCCATCTGATACTCCCCTTTGCATGACCTGACTTCATACACAGTTTTCTTGCCCTGTCTTCCGTTTACACTTCCCTCAATGTCTGTCCTTTAAAATGTGTCCCATCAATATAACTAGAAGATGTGCATATATTCAGTTCAACTTTGTCTTTTTCCAAGGATAACCAAGTCAGTGTTCATAAAAAAAGTGCTTTTTTTCTAACCAGATATTTTCTGCTTTCTGTGTCTGGTGCTAGGCCTTTGGCTAATTTTCCCAAATGGCCTTGCATTAGTAGCTCAGGGGACTTAAAATCTGGTGCTTCTAGATACTTCTCAATCTAAGCAAGTCCATCTTATGCTGTCTGTTGCACACGTAAGTGATGGTTCAACCTTGGACATTTGCTTTCAAACATTGCTCTGGCTTTTGAGATGCCATAGCTGAATTTTACATGCGAATTTAATTACTTTTGGAAACTAGTCTGCATCTTCTGAGCCTCAGTTTCTCCTCTTCTTCCAAGACTGACTGAAGAATTGCTAAATGTATAGTAGTGGGCAGCTAGCACTAATGCATAGTTTTCTCTAAGTATGTTCAGCTTGATTATCTACTGTAACATTCTGTTCATTAAAAATCTGTTTCAGATTTTTTTTGTGCTGCGTAAGAAAAACAACCAAGTTACATTCCTGCATGTCTTTCATCATTCCATCATGCCATGGACCTGGTGGTTTGGAGTCAAATTTGCTGCAGGTAGTGGAGAGAGAGTTGAAGTTGTACATATCTTCTGATAGTAAAAGTTAACTATGCTAGACAAAAAAACCTTGCAAACATTGATGTTTTAAAATTTAGATGTCTGTGGTATTTCATGAAGCATCTGAGATCACCATAATTATTTAAATGGGTGGGGAATACTCAGTTTTCCTGTTTGACAGTATTTTGGGCAGTGTTGTTTTTTCTTGGGGGGGTGAAGGGTGCAGAAGGAAAGAGAACTTAACATATGCAGAGACATGACTGCAAAATCAGAAGTGCTAAGGAAGACATGAGGCAGGTGACTGTTGAAATGACATCAGAGCCATTTGTCCCCCTTTGTAGCTATTTTTGCTGGTTTCAGGTAGTGTAATTTGGGCATATTTACATCCCATACTTTGACTTTCACAAAACCACAGAAACATTTTTATGGATCTTGCTGACTACAGAAACTTATTTGAATTGTACTGAATTGAAAGTATTTGTCTACTCCCATCTTATCTTCACTTTCTCCTTTCCTGCTCTATATGTCTATGCATACATCTTCCTGTGCTGTAATATTAGTGTGCACCATTAATAAACAAAGGTTGCCGTGAGATTAGCCTGATAAGCACTGAGTGGAGAAATGCAGTCATTTAGCAATCTGTCTCTGTGAGGCTGTGGGTTTGTTTTTAGTTTTTTTTTGGGGGGGGGGGTTGCCCCTGAAAAAGAAGGGTTTTACATGTTTCTTCACTCATGTTCTCTGGCACATTTGGGTTTTTGTGAGGTTTTTTTTTTCCCCCCAGAAAATGGGTGACAAATTGATGAAGAGAACCATTGCTTATTAAATCTGATCTGTCATGAATACAAAAGAAACAAGTGGAAGCAGTCCATAGAATTGGTAGATGGACTCTTGAACATATCTGGTGTGCAGATTTTCCTAGTATATAGAAGAATACATTTCTGCTAGATTTATTGAGTTATTGTTAATAGGAATCTGGTGTTTTGATCATGTCTTTTTCAAATTTGCTGAGTAACTGGTATTTCAATTCGTTAATGATGAAATTGTGAGTATTTTTCTCAGCATACAGTTAAGTGTGTTTGGAAAACACAAAAAAGCACAAACAACTAACAATCCCTCCTCTTCAATCTCAAAAAAGTTTCCATTTATAGGTGATTAACTTTCTGCCTTTTATCTAGGCATCAGATCAATATACCAGCTACAGGCTTCTGATTTTGCATCAGGTTCAGATTTCCCATATGATAATTTGACAAATACTTTCAGCAAAGTATGCAAGAACCATTTTGTTCTCTGCTAATAATAGTCATTCGTATATATGCAGAGCTGTGTTTGTTCCTACAGCTGTATTGCTTATCTTTACACTAATCTTTCCAAATATTGTTCTGTTTGATACCTTAATTTTCTTTCCAAAAATTTCCGTCCTGCTGATGATTATCATGTATTCAGTTTCATCACTATCTGTCCTTCTAAATGGTGGCACTGATCAAATACTCAACCTGGTAAAAAAAACAATGGGTTTGGATAGAGATTTCGATTTATTTTTTTTTTTTTCCTCCTTTTTTTCTCTGATTCAAACAAGAGGATTATAAAATGGAGCTTATATATGGTGGTGCTTTTTGAGGCATATTTTTGTACTGTTAGTTGGGTGTTCTTTCCTTTTGTTCTGATTTAACTATTTGTTGTTTTTTTTTTTTCCTCCATATTCACTGTGCAAGCCAAAAGAAGTACATATATTTGAATTGTAAGAACACTTGAATTATTTTTAAAAATATAAATAGCTAAGTTTCAAAGAAAGTTTACAGTCACGGCAGGGGGAGTTATGGTCTATCAAGATGGAAGATAAGTGTGAGCTACTAAAATCACAAGAGATGTTTTCTTTTTAACTTGAGTGGTACTTAATGGAAAATTGGCTTATTTTTTTTTCTTTCCCCTCTCTCTAAATGTCTGTTTTTCTTTCATCTCGCTTTCTTCTGATGCTTGGTATTTTCATGTTCATGTTTCTTTTAAAAATACTTTGCTGGCTGCCACTTATTGGATCATTATTACCTATAATTTCTGGTGTTCATTAAATTAACACAATTTTGAGCAGGATCATTTAACTCCATAGTTGATCCAATGGAAAAGGAAAAGTATTTCTTTACTTCCTTTGTGAAATGTTTGTATCTTACCTGTTTCAGTCATGAGTTTGCCATAAATAGGGCTACTTGGTCTTACATTTCCTTTTTGCTCTAAGAATAATTTGTGGTGGATGATGGATTTGTGAGATCCTCACTTAGGTCAAGATTCCAAAAACTTACTATGTAAAATTGTGATTCTTTCCCTGGGAATCTGGAAATCTGTGTTGGGGAAAGAATTATTAGTTATCCTTTAGAGTTCTGCAAAGTTCAGTGTGATGTCTAGCAAACAGGTGTAAAACAGGAGTAACACTGTTTCTACTATATTCTCTGAATCTCCATCATGTATATGTTTTAATAAAAAACAATTTAAAAAGTGAACCAAAAGAACAAAAAATTCCACTAAAATCTTTTACAGGTAATTCAATCACCTTGGTTTTCTTGTTGTTTTGGAAATGCTCAGAAACTGATATGATCCCACGGAATTGGTGTCAACTCAATTCAGGTTAAATACCTTGTGGGTTAATCAAAGCCTATAGGGTTTATGGTACATGGTTTTTCTACCCCAAAACAAAGCACTAGGACCTGAGGTAGCTTTTTAAATACCTGGTGCAATAATACTGGTACTGTGTTTGTTTTTATTGCAGGTGGTTTGGGAACATTTCATGCACTGCTAAACTGTATTGTCCATGTTGTCATGTACACATATTATGGAATCTGTTCTTTGGGACCAGCCTATTATAAATATTTGTGGTGGAAAAAATACATGACCACTTTGCAACTTGTGAGTAATTTGTTTGATATAAACACCTCTCAAAGCTGATTGTAGCTAACACATAATTAATGCAGTACATTTGTACTTTAGTTATGTTCAGGTGTGTAGCTTACAATTGGTACAAGGTTTACCTGAGTTTGAGTGAAATGAGAGTGAGCTCTCCTCAGTTATATACTTAAATCTGCTGACTTCAGTATTCACTATAATCACAGATTTAGACACATGAGCTTTTCAGGTATGCAGCACTTGGTAAATATATTTACAAATCTCATTGCCTCTATGGAAATGATTAGAATGTAGGTTACACCAAGGAAACAAAACTGATGTACAGACTACATATGGCTAGTAGTAACAAAAGGGAAAAAGAAGTATTTCTTCAGAATTTCATGTCTGTTCTTTTATAGAAAATGTGTGATTAGAGAACTTGCTTCTCTCTAACTTCAGAGCATTAAAACTCTCCCTTGCAGTAATTACAGTAAGTGTTTTGTTAGCCTTGGATCACATTCAGAAGGTTACCACTCTGGGTGCTTTGTCATGCCTGGCCTTTTTAACAGCTGAATTTTCAAAATTTAGCTTCCAGCTTAACCATTAGTTTGGCCTGAGCAAGGATACTGATGGAGGAGGGAAAGGAGCAGGGAGAAGCAGTCATGGCTGGCTGCTTGCACCAGGTCTGGTGTTAATGGAATAGCTCATATAACCAGGTGAAACTGAACTATTTAGCTTGAATATTTATAGCTTAGTATTTTTGTCTCAGAAAAACTACCAGTGGATTATTAACTTTGAGTTCATTTGGAAACTTTTATTTGTAATTGTCCATTAAATTGTTGTTTGGGACCTGAAGTATTCCATGTCACATGCTAGTATGTGGGCTAGGTGGGAATTCATGTTCTGTAATCCTGTAATTGTTGTATTTCCATGTGTGTGGTTTTCTTTGGTCAGGTGGGGTTTTTCTGGCTAGTTTTTCTAAAGGAGCCTCCCATTCTCCACTAGTCAAACAGTATCTCCCATCTCTTGTCTTCAGAACTGGCCAGGGCAGACTCCCATTTGCCTAGTATGGGTTTCTCAGTGCTGCTTATAATTCAGTTTGTCTCAGGACTTCTGTTTTTTTTCTATATGGAAGTGTTTTTCAGTAAAGTAACATTTGGAAGAGGGGCTTTAAAGGTTCATCTCTGTCAGTTTTAAAAAGAGCTCTCCCCCAGGAGGGAGAGTAGGCAAGTTGTGCTTCTGTAGTAAGGCTGATATTTATTTAAAAAGTATTTATTTTCTTCACTTTTTTCCTCCAGGTCCAGTTTGTTTTGATTACAGGCCATATTGTACAAATCTACTTCATGGATGATTGTCCATACCAGTATCCAATTTTCATGTTTATTATCTGGGTGTATGGCTCTTTGTTTTTGGTCTTGTTTCTCCACTTCTGGTACCACGCTTATACAAAGGGAAAACGACTACCAAAGATGGCAAAAAATGGGATCAGCAAAGATCAGTGAAACACACTCTCATCTCTAACATCAAGAAAGCATATTCGTCAAACTGCTTGACAATCGAGATATTTGGGTGCACACACTACAGAGTGTATATTTTGTATGTTTTCGTCCAAAACAGAATTTGTATTTTTACCATAAGTTATTTGGGATTCAGAATTTGGGGGATGAGGAAAGCCGTGGGGATCTCTAAAGGATTTTTTTCAACAGCTTGTTCATGTCTGTTGTGTAAGAAATCAATGGATAGATGATCTCTAGAAGATGCTTGAAAATAACTATGTTCACTGGGAAAACTGTGTATGATGAGTACTGAGTACTTTGAACACTGAGAGAAAGGTATTGCTTCATCTTAAATGTTGTGAGATGCTGAGACTGTCAGCTGCTTTTTATTAAAAGAATAAACCTTCAGTAAGTACCTTTTACAGAATCTCAAGCTTATTATTAATAAAGTTAATACATAAACGTTGCTACATCTGTTTACAAACTGTATAACTTTAAAGGAAGGATTGTATGTTAATCTGTCAAGGTGTGGCGTTTCATCTGAACATCATAGATTTTTGGATATACTGTCTAAGGTAACTTAATTCACCTAATGTTGTACTCACAAATATATTGTTCTGAATATTGGAAACCTGCTGATTTGAAGATTATCTGAAGTGTCTTATAGTGTGATAATCAAAAAATCTTACTGACTTGTTCTCCAGAGTAGCCTAATGTACTTACTGTTCAATGTATCTATGGATATATTTTGATACTGGGAGCTTAGGCTGTTTGGGGGGGGGAATAATCTTGTCATTCAGTAGCTAAAATCTTAGTTGTCAAGTAAGTTTAAAAAAAGTACTTTTGATTGAAGCCTGAGTATCACCTAGTATGATTTGTACTGTGTCTACTTTCTTCCATTTCCATTATCTATTGAAATACATGCCTAGAAAGATTTTTGCTGGTCTTTTTTTTTTGTTGTTATTGTTTGGTTTTAAGCACTCAAGGTCAAAGTTTCTCTGTTAATAGCACCAGTTACCTTGTGCAGAACTAGGCAAAAACATATGTGTCATTCTTTGGGCTACTGAGAGTGAGACAGGCAGTAGTGGCTGGGCATGACTCCAGTCTCTGTAGAATTAACCAGTATGTTGTTTTCCATGCTTAAGCAGCTTGTCAGGGTTACACATGTATAGAAATCAAAGGACCTAGCTATTTGTATGCAAGTTGCCTTTGTACTGTATAAATTTATTAAGGAATTGGTGCATGCAACAGACCTGCAAATGTGGAGTTGAAGTGTTTAAAAGTACTGTTTTCTATTCTGTTCACTAAAAACAGAAAAGAAGCTTGTTCTGTGCCTGTTCTATTTGTGGAATATTCAAACACCCAAAACTTTGGGTCAGGTTTTAATTGCCGGTGTGTTGTACAATTCCAAGAAAGTAGGTTTTGTTACCTGGATACTTTTATGGGGATACTGCCATTTATGGTGCACTGTTAATGCTAAAATGATTTAAATTTTGTCTTGGACATGAGTTGCAAATGATTTATTATGACATTATATACAAGTTGTCTTTATAAAACAAATAAAAAATAATTTATATTTTAGCTTTCCAGTATTTAATCAATGTAGCTATCAGCTGTCATGGCAGATTGAAATTAAATCCCAGAAAGGATTTGGATAGCAGGGGATGTGTATTTTGACCCCTGAATTTTAGATGCTTGATCCCAGAATTCTCAGCGCAGAGTTTAGGCTCCCTGTCAGTGCATGCGAAGAGGTGCTTTAGCACAGAATCCAGGTCAGCTAAGGTGCTGATCAGGGGCCACACATGGTTTCAATGGCAAATGCCATAACCGACTCCAAGTCTCAAAGCCTACCAGCCTCCACCCTGTGTATATGCCTGTGGCTTCCAAAGTAGGGGGTGATCTTAGGATGGAGACCTAGTGCTGTTTTTTAAAGCAGTCTGAAAGAGTTTTCGTGATGTATTTTTAAAGCTTGAATGCTGCTTTTTTTTTTTTTTAATATAATTTGTTAACTCAGTACTAATGAAAAAAGTGGGACAGTTTGGTTCCTTTAGGCCTTCTTGAGCCTGTGGGTTCAAACATACCTGGGAAATGCAGGGCTTTCAACTGAAAGGCTGTAATAGCTGCTGTGCATTGTAGCATGGATGATGCTCCACTGCTGCCTCTGGAGGTGTGTGGTGGGTTGACCCTGGCTGGGTGCCAGCTGCCCACCAAAACCACGTTATCACTCCCCTTCCTCAGCTGGACAGGGGGAGAAATACAATGAAAGGCTTATGGGTGGAGACAAGGAAGGGAGAGAGGGGGAGATCACTCAGCAGTTAACTATCATGGGCAAAATAGGCTTGACCTGGGGAAATCAGTTGAATTTATTACCACTCAAATCAGAGTAGGGTAATGAGAAATAAAACCAAATCTTTAAAATACCTTTCCCCACCTCTCCCTTCTTCCTGGACTTCACTTCCAATTTGTTCTACCTCCTCTCCCCCACAGCAGGAGGATGAGGAATGGGACTGTGATCAGTTCATCACACCTTGTCTCTGCTGCTCCTTCCTCCTCAGGAGAGGGCTCCTCACACTCCTCCCCTGCTCCACTGTGGGGTTCATCTCACAGGGAATCAGTTCTCCATGAAATTGCCAGTCCTTTTCACAGCTGCAGGTCTTCATAAACTGCTCCAGTGTTGGTCCCTTCCACCAGTGCTGCCCTTCAGGAGCAGACTGCTTCAGTGTAGGTTCCTTCCATGGGGTCGCAAATCTGCTCCAGTGTGGGCTCCTCTCTCCACAGGGCCACAGCTCCTGCCAGGAGCCTGCTCCAGCACAGGCTTCCCACAGGGTTGCAGCCTCCTTTGGCCACCCCTCTACCCTGGCACAGGGTCCCCCATGGTGCAGGTGGAGATCTGCTCCTCCATGGGCTGCACCATGGTGCTGCAGAGGAATCCCTGCTCTCTGGCACTGGAGCACCTCCTCCCCTCCTTCAGCACTGGCTTTGGTGGCTGCAGAGCTCTTTCTCACACACATTGTCACTTCTCTCTGGCTGCAGTTGCTCCTGCACAGGAACTTTTTCCACTTCCTATGTTGCCCCAGAGATGCTGCCCCTGTCACTGGTTTGGCCTTGGCCAGTGGTGGGTCCATCTTGGAGCCAGCTGACATTGGCTCTATTGAACATGGCAGAAGCTTCTGTAGCCCCCCAATACCAAAACCTTGCCATGCAAACCCAATACAAGATGGAAGCAGACAATGCTCCTTATTCTTACAGATGACTCCCATGCTGGCAGGGGAAGTCCTAATTCTGGTCTCTGATTTGCAGTTTCCCACCCCTCCTCCACCCCACACTGCTACAGGGAGGAGTGCATCCTGCAGCTGGGTGTGGGGGCCCGGATGTGCGGTTTGGGACCTAGATCTGCAACTGATTGCTCAGGATCACTTTGGCTTAAGTAGAAGCTGAGAATAAATACAGTCAGAAGGAAGGATCTCTGCACATGGGCAGGTGCTGAACAGAAAAGAGCCAGGAAAAACAGTCCAGCAGTTGTACAGTTAGCCAACTGCCTCCGAAGGCAGTTGTCTGAGACTAAAAATTAGTAATCAGGAGCATAAACTGTAGATGCTGATCATTCTGTGGGCTGTCAGCAAGTGCCATTTCAGATTCCGACTGCATAATTTCCTGCGCTCTGGTTTAGTTTTCTGTGAGTTACGAGGCATTTGGAGAAAGAGAGTTGTTTTATCTAGTTGTATGGATGCATTGTTTCAGGGAGCTGTGTGGATGTATCCTAAAAGGTTTCATGCAGCGTAACTATGTAACTGTGCTAGTGATATCAATACAGAATGGTACTAAACTCTCCTCTCCTCTGATGTTAGTAAACGCACAATGTTGCAGTCGGTGAGAATAGTGCAGTCTTGATGTGGATAGTCACATTTTTTCCCTGCCTAACAGTTGTGCACCTTGCATGCTGAATGATAGTTATACATTTGAGTTATGCTAGAGAGAGGGGTGCAGCAGTCAGCAAAACCGTTATGTTACAGTGAATGTTAATGACAGTGAGGGGAATTGGATTGAAATTCTGTACCCCCTGGATTTGGTGGAGGAGAAGCACTGCTCTTGCTAGCTACTCCTCTCTTAATAAATCGAGTCCTGTAAATTGGTGTGGTTTTCTTTCTTTTATTTGTATTCCAAATTAACGAAAAGGCTGTATTCTCTGTGTCCAGGTGGCAATTCACCAAAAAAGTGTTTCGCTGTTGTGGGCTGACTGCTTTCCAAACCCAGGCCCCTGTTCGGAGCCATTTACTGGCTGAGGAAGTGCAAACAACAGAGGGCAGTTAATGTTCGTTTAACAAGTAACATCCCTCCCAGGAAGACAAAGCGGTCTGAGCAGACGCACTGCCCCGCAGGGGCCGCTCCCGCCCCGCCTGGCCGACGGGAGCCGTGTTTCTTCCCGGTCCCACCCCTGGCGCTGTTTGCGGTCTCCCGACCGCGGAGCGGGGTCAGAGCCCCGGTGGCGGCGGCGGTGGCGGGCACAGGGGGTTGGCCTGGGCAGGGCAAATGCGTGGGCCGGGACAAGCGGGTCCCCGCCCCACCAATAACGGGCTGTGCGGGCGCGTCACGTGCGGCCGTCGCCATCCAATAGGTGAGGGCGGCGTCTCCCGGGCGCGGATTCAAACCGTGGGCGCGGTGCGCGTGGCTCCCTGTTTCCGTGGAGACGGAGAGGCCCGGCTGCGTCCATGGAGCCGCAGCTCGTCGGCCCTGGGCCCTACCGCGCTACCCGTCTGGTGAGTGCTCCCCATGTCCGGGGTGGCCTGTTGTGCAGCATTGCCTCGTCCTTGTGGGCCTCCATGCCCGACGGTAGCTCTCTAGAGCCTTCTGGGTACGGGTCCGCTGCCTTGATGCAGTCTGGCCGCCTGGGCCTGGACCGCTGGCTGGGTCTCTGAGGGCTCAGCGCCGCCAGCCTTAGCGGGCCCTGGGCCTGTCCTGGGTAGCCAGGGCCTATTTCGGGTGGCCGGGACTCGGCGGGGTGGTCCCCAGCCTCCCTCTGGGTGTTGGTGCTCCTCACGCCGTGTCTGTTTGGGGTGTCTGTGGAGCCCCGCATGAGTGGAGCGGCCGCAGCACGCAGCAGAGGGGATCGTTAGTCCGGCCTTTTGTCAAGTTAAAAGCCGCAGGGACGTTAGCTGTACCTGCAGAGCCATTGGTAGCATGGGGCTCTACATCTCCCAGTTTCCTCAATCTGGTGTTTGCTCTCAGGTGTCCACTGTTTAAATCACAGGTTTAAGTTCCAGTGGGTTTGTAAATGCAGATGATAAAAAAATTTGTGTAGTTCTGCTTTCAGATCTGGTTGTATCTCGACCTTGCTTTGTACGACTCAGTGCTTCTAGAAGAGCTGTTACGGTTTGCTTTGATCTTTTTTAGTGGAATGAGATAATAGAACATTTTCGTGCTGAGATGCCTTTACGGAAACATCGGTGTCGCTTCAAAAGCTACGAGCATTGCTTCAAAGCCTCGGAAGCAGTGGACTGTTTACATGAACTGCTTGGCTCTAATCAAAATTTTGGCCCAGAAGTGACTCGCAATCAAACGGTTAAACTGCTTAAAAAATTCCTGAAAAATCACGTTATTGAGGATATTAAAGGAAGATGGGGCAAAGAGGACTTTCAAGATGATGGCCATTTATATAGGTAAACCTGTATATGGTGTCTGAAAAACTTAAGTAATCTCTCATTGGCGTAACAAATGTTTTTGTAGAATGCCTTTGTAAAGGGGTTAATGTGTCTCTCCCCCCTTCTAAGGACTTTATTTTTTCTTTAGTGATAAGCAACTAGTTTAATGTTTGACTTGGTTTTGTGGTTTGGGGTTTTTTGGTTGTGGGGTTGCTCTCCCCTTTTTATTTTCCTCCTCCTTTGTTTCTAGATATTTTTGAAGGGCACTTTTATTCAGTTGCATTCCATGAATACTAACAAGTTTTTACAGATTTTTATGATGTAATGAGTTCTGTTTGCTGTTGGCAGACATCAGGTTTGTCAGTGTTTGAAGAATGCGTATCAAGAATATATGTATGGGAATGAGGATGCCATTGAACATTCAATTTATCTTTTGCTCCCATCTCCCCAGCCCCTTGGCTATTTTGAGTGCCTTTCTACTCCTGAGAGAAGGGACTTCAGAAACTAAAAGTCATTCATGATGTAACCTTTTCAGTGCTCTTTGGGTTGTATATTGAAAATGTCTTAAAAGATGCAAAGTTTAATTGTTCATTTTACCCTTTTATGGTGCTTTTTGTGTTTTTTTTTTTTTTTTTTTTGTTTGTTTGGTTTTTTTTCTTTTCTTTTGGTAATAGGTTTTTTTTTAATATTGTCTCTGGGAAAAGGTAGATCTGAATTTCCAGTTAGTATGGATGAAATAATCTTTTCATTTTGCTCTATGAACTTAAATAGTTTCTTTTGTAGAGTGTGTCTAAATTTTTTGATCTGCTGTATGTACATTTGTTCATTACTCTCCTAGTATTATTTAATCATAGAATCATAGAATAGTTAGGGTTGGAAAGGACCTTAAGATCATCAATTTCCAACCCCCTGACATATACAGGGACACCTCGCTCTAAACCA